AGCTCACGCTATGAAACATCAACAGGTTGACATAACATCTGTTCTTCAGTTTTTCACCCAAGTTGTTATGGTAACCAAAATATGTGGAATATGTTTCCTAAATCTAACTGATTATTTCAAGTAAATAAAATTATATCATATCAGCTTACTAACAACAAATAATATTATTACTACAAACCTATATTTATCATTTCCATATACTAGTGGATCACATGATTATATTAAATAGGCATTTACACATGTTTTTTTCCCTAGAATTCACATTTAAAAAATAGTAAGGGCATTTTTCTTCCTAATTTGATGGTTCTATCTTTATTTAAAAACAAAATAAGGGGCCAGTGTGGTGGTACTCACCTTTAACTCCAGCACTGGGGGGGCAGAGGCAGGAAGGCAGATCTCTGAGTTTGAGGCCTGCCTGATCTACATAGCTAGTTCCAAGATAGCCAGGACTACATGAGAGACCTATCTCAAAAAAAAAAAAAAAAAAAAGGAAGGAAGAAGGAAAGAAAGAAAAAAGAAAGGAAGTAGTTTGTTCTCTGAACTGTTTTGCCCAAACTGTGAACCCCAAAATCACCAAGAGACCTGATCTGATGCAAAAGCAAAGAGTCTTTAATTTTACGAGTTAACTCTGTTCCCCCATCCAACAGACAAAGCAGGTGAAGCAATCAATGACTAGGAGGGACCTCAAGCAGCAGCAGGGCAGGTAATATATTGGGGATAGAGCAAGGGGAGTATCTGGGGGTCTGCTAGTTGCATAGCAACAGTCTCGGGATTGGTGCCCCTCTGGGCTTGGGCAGCCTGTCCTGTGTTGGTTGGTTGGTCAATGGCAGCTGCAGGAATGTTGCTATGCCTGGAGGCCCTCCCAGGGCAGTCGCTACACTCTGCGCTCCTCTGTTACTGTAAAGCACATCCAGAGCCTGCCAGCTAACTTCTGATTGGTTCCTTGCCACATGGAAGGTATCTGGCTTCCTAGTGACTAGAAGGTTGGGCAAGGTCAGGAGCACAGCACATGTTGCTGAGTCAGGGGCCTCTGTCTTGCCGGGTCTTTTCTGCAGCCAGTCATGGCTGTCAAAGCAGGAGGCTGGGTGAGGGTCTGGTCCCTTCAGAACAAAATGCTGTGCCAATTCCTCTAGAATAAAACCAGCGGACAAGTCAGGATGGCACGTCTCCTGAGCAAAGTCAGAGACCTCACTGGGACCAGGGAGATAGTCATCCCATTTTTGTTTCTTTTTTCAACCTGTGAGCGTGTGTGTGTTGTGTGTGTGTGTGTGTGTGTGTGTGTGTGTGTGTGTGTGTAGTGCTCATGAATGCAGACAGATGCACCTGTCTAGAGGACAAAGGGCATTCTCGAGTGTTGGTCCTTACCTTATTTTAAAAGGGCCTCTTCTAGTTCAGTGCTGTGTACACTGGGCTAGCTGGCCTGAGTTTCTGGAGATTCTCCTGTCTCTGCCTCCAATCTCAAAGTAGGAGTGCTGGGATCACAGGCTATGCCCAGCTTTACACACTCACATCCTCACTCTTTCATAGCAAATAGCTGACCCACTGAACCATCTCCCCAACCCTGGCCATTCCATTTCAACTGCTTCCCAACAACCCTCCCATCTCTGCTCACACATTAGCCATCCACCTGAGAATTAATTGTTTTTCCCAGAAATGTATACTTTGAAGTCTTATCCCCCAGTATGTACATATTTGGGGGCAGGGTCTACAAGAGGATAATTAAGGATAAATGAGGTCAGAGCATGGGGTCCTTATCCAACAGGTCTAGTGTCTTTACAAACAGAGACCCCAGAGAGCCTCGCCCCTCAGATCTCCCCCACCGTCCCTCTCCTTTACTAGAGAATAAGCTTGATGAGGGTGGGGGAATGCAGGCATGGGGGATGAGGGCGCAGAGGATGAGGGTGTGGGTGTCTCTGCTGTTCACTTGACCTACGGTATAGTAAGCAATAGTGATTCAACATCTGTTGAATGTGTAAAACATTTAAAGTATCTTTAATGCTAATAAATTAAAGCAAGAAATATTTTATAATGGCATTCAAAGAACGTGACAAAATAGACTTAATATCTTTAGCACATGGACATTAAAACTTTATGGACACCAAAATTTATGTTCCTATCACAGAACGACAAGGTCTTGCTTTCTTGGTTTCCTCCCCACACATCTGATCCAAACAGGCGCTGTCCTCCTCCCTCCAATTAGCACAGAGGACCTCTATTGTGAATAAGTCCTGCCCTTCACCTTGTTCTCTGCTCAGTAGCTAGATGAACTTGTCAATTTCATCACTTCTGCTACCTCTTGAGGACAACACCGAAAGCACTGTGCCTGCCATAAACCAGGTTAAAGCCAGTGCTCTAGACCTTAGAGATGTGTCTGACTATCCAGATGTCAGAGGACAGAAGCCATTAGTAAAATTCAACCCTGTACACATTTTAGAAAAAAAAATCCCAAGTAAACAATCATGTTAAGAATGTTGTCTTGCCAGGTGGTGGTGGCATATGCCTTTAGTCCCAGAATTCAGGAGGCAGAGGCAGGCGGATCTCTGTGAGTTCGAGGCCAGCCTGGTCTACAGAGCAAGTTCCAGGACAACCAAGGCTGTTACAGAGTGAAACTGTCTTGAAAAACCAAAACAAGAAAAAAAGGGGAAAAAAAAAAAACAACAATGTAGTCTTCAGTGGTATGTAGGCACACATCTTCCATACATGGCTGCTTTCTTCGATTACAGAAAGCAGACTTAGGAGAGCAGCACATTCCGATCTTTATGACTGTGTGTTCTAATTAACAGTATACCCTTGTACTAACTATCATTCTCACTTCAACCACTGAATTATTCCCAATGTTGTAGTAGAGTTTTATTGCTTCCAAATTGAATTTAATCACATGGGGGGGAAATATAAGAAATTTACCTGCAGTTTTCAAATTAAATTTCTGTGCTGGGATGGTTTATTTTTAGAGAGAAAAAAAAAGAAAAAGAAAAAGAAAAAAGACCTCCCCTGTTTTCCTTCCTCACTGGCTCCCAAATAACACTTGTTTCTCCAGCCATGTTCCCTACGCTCTCTAATCAACTCCTTACTGTTCCACAGACCTCCTGAAAGCACATCTTTTTTACCTGAAGATCCTCAGTGATTTGATCAAATGACAGTTTCAGAATTTAGGGAAGGCTTCAAATCACAGCAGGCGAGTAGAATTCACTATCTAGTTTAAACAAGCCATGTAGTTTAGAATTACACTGAGTTAAAACGAAAAGAACTTGTGTGTGTCATGACTTTAGAGAGAAGCCATGACCTCCCTAGGGCTTCTAAGGTCAATAGTCCTCAGTGGCCCTCAGTATAATCAATTCGGGCAAAACACATGCACTACCCTGTTTAGGTGAGTAATATTACAGGTTACATCAGGTAAACTTCACTACTATTCGCGCTATGTTTTCCCTTCATGTTAAGGATCTCAATAAGGTTTTTGATTCAGGTAATAGGTGCTAATTAACTATGGTTTGTACCTCCAAACTTTAAATGCTGCAATCCTAATATTCATGTGATAGCCTTATAAAATGAGGCCTTTGAGGTGTGATAAGGTCATAAAAGTCAATCCCAAAGGGATCAGTGCCTTATTAAAAGATGCTCTATCCCTAGCATAGTGAACCATGCCTATAGTCCCAACACTGTGGAAACTGAGGTAGGAAGATTTCAAGTGCAAGACCACCTTTAGCTCCAGAGTGAGACTCTGACTAAAAATACAAAGATAAATAAACAAAGGATGGATGGATGGATGGATGGATGGATGGATGGATGGATGGAAGGAAGGAAAACTGACTCCAAAGACTTCACCTCCTAGCTCATCACGTAAGGTTGTACTAGGAGAGAGCCAAATGTGAACTGGAAACTGGATCCTTACAAGACACCAAATGTGATCTAAGATCTCCTAGTTTTTGAATTTAGAAACAAATTCCTACTGTTTCTAAGTCACTCAGAGATGGAACTGTACCTTAGTTGGTAGAGTTCCTGCCCAGCATGCAGGAAGCCTGCACTGGATCCTAGCCCTGTACAAAACCGGGTGGAGCAGCACAGGGTTTGCACTCTTGGCACTCAGAGTTCAAACTCAGCCTTGGTTATATGAAAAGTTCAAAGCCAGCCTAGGCTTATATAGCCTGTCTCAGACAAACAAAACAATTGACAAAAGCCAGACATGAGGGAACACATCTTTAATATCAGCACTTGGGAAGCAACGACAGAAGCAGGTAGATCTCTGTGAATTCTAGGCCAGGGCTTGTCTACACAGTAAGTTCAAAGCCAGCCAGGGCTATGTAGTTTGACCTTAGCTCAAAAAAACAAATAAACAAACAAAAGAAAAATACAAGCAAAACTAGAGTTAATATACATTTAATCCAAAACTTACATATAAGTTACATATAACATATAACATATAAAATGTTAACAGACATTTTAAACCAAAAGTTAAAAAAAAAACTATATTATGATCAATATATTGGAAAACACTGTTTTCTTTTCTTTTTTGCTTATTTTTATCTTTGAGACAGGGTATCATGTAGCCCAGGCTGACCTCAAACTCACCGTGGAGCCAGGGATGACACTGAACTCCTGATTTTCCTGTCTCCACCTCCCAAGCACTGGTATCACTGGTGTGCATCATGACACTCAGTTTACCGGGTTCTAGAGATTTGATCCAGGGTTTTCTGTAGGCTAGGCAAGCACTCACAAACTGAACTGTATTTCCAGGCCCAACTAAAGTTTTAAAACATTACCAAATCAGTTACAATTCAAAGTCAGACACAAAGAGCTAAATCTTCACATTGAGAAATCTCAGATATAAATAGCAATTTACTCCCCACGCCTAGTGGGTAAATAGGACTTTTCCTTCAGTCCAGCTCTGTGAAAGCCAATAATCATGGTAACCAAAATAATTGAATACCCAAACTCTCTTTTTCTATACCAAAAAAGTAACTGCATTAGCAGGGATAGCTCACCTGTGGTCTAGGCTAGCTCACCTGTGGTATGAGTCTGTCCAAGTGTTCGGCTCGGTTCCCGTGAGAAGGGTGTGTCGACAGCCATTCTGGCAACTTAGGGTAACCGTGAAGACTCTCAGAAAACTCCATCTGCTGCCAAAATACTGAGCTGGCTCTTACATCCACACATGCCTAGACACAAGAGTTAAGAAGGCACATGATGAGCTTAGTTATTACAACTTTAAAAAATTAGCTAGATTTTCAAAGGAGGGAGAATCAAAAGAAAGAGGAGGTAAGAGAGAGACAGGGGAAAGGAGGGAGAGAAGGAAAAATATGTTTGTTTACTTTATGTCACTACATGTTTTGGAAATATTCTAATTTTCTACCACCATTTTAATAAAAGAATACATTCACGACTTAAAAGAAGAAAACCTCAAGCTGGGAATTAAATTCAATAGAGTAACACTCCTAACACACACTCACTAGGCTCTGGGTTTGATCCCCAGTATTGCAAAACAGAATGGAGAGAAGAGCAAAGCTCACACAATATAGCATGACAGCAAGACAACCCTGACTCCTAACCCACAAACATTTTCAGGACAGTAGACACTAAAAACACGTATTAAGGGGAAAAATCTTCCATATAAATTAACTTTTCTACTAAAAATAATCTGAACTAAAGAAAGTTTATACTTAGTGATTCATTTAGAAAAAAATAAACATGCGTAAAATAGCTAATTTTAATATATACCAATGTGTCCAATTTTCTTAACTACCTGAATACAATACATTTAGGCCATTCAAAACACAGCATATTTTAAAGGATGTATATGGGTCTAGAATACAGGGGGACACAATTCCATCACAAATTCACATCCATACCTTACCATATACTTGAATACACAGAACACTATGGAAGGCTACTTAAGAACTGTTAATGGTGGTTGCCTGGGAGTTTAATTCAAGTATCTGAGGTGGGAAGGAAGAAAGAGTTTAATTCTAAAGTACAATAAATTGTTTATAATAATTTTTTAAATCCTCCATACGAGGAGTTACAGGTTTTTTAGAAGTCTGTTTAATTTTCTTCACATCTTAATTTACTCTTTCTATAAGAACTGGGAAACATGTGTTTGCATTTCCTATTTTACTTTTGAATAAATTAAGGACAAAATTATATCAGATTGGTCAAAATGTAGAAACAACAAACCTTCAATTGCGTGACTGTGATACCTAAAATGCAAGACAAATGCCACATGTTGTGTTGCTAGCTTTATGACAACTTGACGAGGCTAGAGTCATTTGGGGAAAAGGAACCTCAAGTGAGAAAATGTCCCCACCAGGCTGGCCTACAGGCACTATCTTGGCTGATGATTAACAAGAGACAAACAAAAGCACGCTTTTAGGATTTTTTTTTTTCTTTTTGCCTTACAAATGTTAGTCAAAGGAGAAGGAAAATATTTACCTGTTCAATCTAAGTAACATAGTTGAAGGCAACATTGAAAACATTTGATATGTAAAAATAGAGGAAAAAATTATCCTAGTAGATAGCAAAAGTATTTCAAACTAAAAGAGCCTTGCCCCACTGTGTTTGTCAATAGCTGACTGACCCTCAGAGAACATCAGTGAATACTACAAAAGCCAGGAGAGGATACTTCTCTGAGGCACAGAATCAATAGAGAGACATGAGTACAACCAAGAGTAAGAATCGCTGGGCCTGGATGTAGCTCTGTTGGTGGACAGCCTGCATTTGGTCTCCAGAACCTCATAACCTGAACACAATGGCCATACATCTTGGGAGGCTAACACAGGAGTATCAGAAGCTCAAGGTCATCCTTAGTTAGACACTAAATTTGAGGCTAACCTGAGCTACATGATACCCTATGTTTAAAAAAAAAAAAAAAAACAGAAACAAAAACTATCAGAGCACTTTGAAAAGAAACTGACAGGTTAGAATGGACCCTTCCCCCAAAAAATGAAGGTCTACAAAATGGTTGACAATTGAATTCAGAATAATACTCATAAGAAAAAAGTTCAGTGAACTATAATACAAGTAACAAAATTCAGTTAACAATTTAGAAAAAAATTGGAAAAATCCATTAGTGATAATCTTTAAAAAGCACTCAGGCACACCTTGGCCCACCCACTGGGGACCTGGCAGAGTGCTTCACCCCTGTATTCATGGCAAGCAGTACCATGGCTCTGGACACAACCATGACCAAAAAAGGTCCCTTTAAGAGACAAACTTTCCCGTGGCCCCTCTGTCGAGGCAGACAGGACTTTGTCTCTTTCTTTCTATCTCTCCCCCCTCCTTTCTCTCCTCTCTTCCTTCCCTTTCCCTACTCCCTTCCCTTCCCCCAATAAAACTTCCCAAGTAACCTGTCTGTATGGTGTGTTTGTCCCTCACCCACCATGGGATCTAACCTTGCACCACACATCAAAACACATTGACTAAACTAGAATGCTTAATGAGAAACTTCAATGGCAACTCTACTGGGGAAAAAAAAGGTAAGTTGAAAGATAGAACATTTGAAATTATGCAAAGGAACAAAAAGGATGAAAATGAACATCTGTAACATCTGTGTAAATTATGGGACATCACCAAGACAGGAAACACTCACATTATAGGAACTGCAGAAAGAGGAAGAAGAACCACAAAGAGGAGTTAAGGAAATGATGCTGGGAACTTCCAGGTGCCATCACTTGGGGACAGGAGGTACAGATGTCATCAATCAAATTCAACCCAAAGGAGAGCATACCATCACACATAATGCTCAAACTCAAAGGAAGAAATGTTCTAAGAGTAGCAAAAGAGAAGAGATATCTCTCTTTTAAAAGACTGCTTCAGCACTGCCTATCAGGAGTCTTCTCAGCAGAAACCTTGTAGCCAGCCAAGAGGGGACGATGATATAGTCAAGCAATAAAGGAAATAGCTGCCAATCAAAAGGCTTTTTCCTGCAAAGTTGTCTTTCATAAATGAGGGAGAAATGAAAACATAGTAGAATGGAGGATGGTGGCATGTATCTAAAATCCCCACTTATGAGGTGAAGAGAGGGAGACCACACAGTAAGACACTGCCTTAAAGGCAAAAGGAGTTCACAACCACCAGCCTGACTTCACAGGGATTGCAAAGGAAACTATTCAGACCAAAATATAAATACAAATAGCCATTGAGTAATAACCCAAAACAAACAAAAGTCAAAACTCTGTGTTGGGTGTAAATGAAAGCCATCTAAGCCATCTTCAGGGTATTCCGAGATTATAATGCTGGTGCTAAGGTGATCTCTTATCCTAAATGAGGGTTAAAAGATCAAATAATTAATAACAACTATAGGCAAAAATAATATCAAGAGTCTAAATCACTAACTGATGCAAGTGCTAACACAAACTGGAAAATGTAAGCAATGTAATCAATATTAACCCAACAAGAGAATAATGTCAATAATACACAAGGAAAACTTACAACTCAATAGCAAAATACTCTTAACAAACAATGGGTAAAGGCTCAAGAACCTCAAGAACAGCATACAAATAACAATGGATTTATGAAAAAATGGTCAACATCACAACACCTCCAAGAAATGCACCTCAGAAACACATGAGCTATCATCCCACACCTGTTGGGAGGCTAACACAAAAATAACAATAATATGAAAAAATTCGGCTCTTACACTTTGTTCATGGGAATGTAAAATGATGCAGTCTCTATGTAAATGAATACAGAGAGTGTTCCAAAAACATTAAAAATGGAACCCATATGATTCAGCAATCCTACTATGCAGTGTTTACCTAAAAGTTAAAAACAGGATCTACTTTTAACTTAGGATCTATTTTTATCTTATTTTTAAAGAAAAACTAGCATTCCCCATTCACTACTACACTACTGACAGCAGTTTTTATCCAGCAATCGCTAGAAACAACCTAAATGCTCACTCAGAGATGAGAGGGTGAAGATGTGGGACTGCATATACACAAAACAGCCTTACCCAACAAGGCACTCCTACCATGTACAACAAGATGGATGAACACTAGGGATGTTCAGCTAGGAAAAATGAAGTAGGCAGAGGGCAAATACTACTTGATTCAACTTACATGCGGTACCTACAATAGGTAGTCAGACACAGGGTAGGGCAGTTATGAGGGATGCAGTAGGAGGTGATGAGGACCTTCTATTCACTGGACAGTAGGTTCTAGATACTGGCTCTATGATATTGTTCCCAGAGGTCATTCTGCATTACACATTGAAATTTGTGAGATCTTTATGTTAAATACTTTTACCACAAAAAGGGAGGAGGGGCAGCAAGAAGGCTCAGTAGGTGAAGGCACTTGTCACTATGTCTGATGAAACAAATTTAATTCCCAGAAATTGTTTGGTGGGAGAAGAGAACTGATGTCTACAAGTTGTTCTCTGACCTCCACAGGTACACTATGGACATGCATGCACAAACAGACATATATGTAAATAAATGCAGGCACAAAAATTAACAAACAAGTTAATAAAACAAGACCTAATGAACTAGTGATGCCTCAGTGGTTAAGAGCACTTGTTGCTCTTCCAGAGGATCCAGGTTAGATTGCCAGCACCTTAAAGGTGGCTCACAACTACCTGCAATTCCAGTTTCAGGGGATCCAATGCCCTCTTCTGGTCTGTGTGGGCATAGCACAAAACAAGTTGCACAGACAAACATGCAGGCAAAACTGAAACACTTAAAATAAAAATAAATAAAAATCTTCTTTAAAAAAATAGACAGGATCTGTCTATGTATCCCCTGTCTATGTATCCTGGAACCTGCTCCTAAAACAGACTGGCCTTGAACTTACAGAGATCTGCCTGCCTCTGCCTCTGCCTCCAAGTGCACCATCATGTTTGGCATAAAATCTGTTTTTTTAAATAGTATCTACTAAAAGAGCATATGTTTACTAAGATTGTGGGAGTACATGAAGAAAAGATAAGGCTCTTTCTAGAACACCTTTCCTTCTTCAAACAGAGCCAGTGGGGATCACAAGTCCCAGGAAACGTAAGAAACAGATGTGAATAGGAAATGCACCCTAGAATGCAGCGGAACGAGTAATGTAGGGACCATCAGGTTGAATCAGTAGTGAACTGTAAGCACTAACGGTATCAACTCCTTTACTCTTCATAGCAGCCTTCTGTGGTGAGTGACGTTATTTTACATCGGTTTACAGAGCAGATG